AAGAGAAGTATAATCTGGATGTCTTCACCAAGAAAGAAATGAAAAGGCTGATTCAACTACTGGTTAGTGCACCTTCAGAACAGAACTACAACAATGTGATCTCTACTATGAAAGTGGTTTTGCGAACAGAGGCTAAAGTTCGCTTGTGGTTCGATTACCTTGATCGCAACTGGAGTAATTGTAAGGATAAGTGGAGCTCAATCTACCGCGGAAATGTTCCGCATATGGGCAACCAGACCAACAATCGACTTGAGTCGAGCTGGCAAAAACTGAAGACTTTGGTGAATCGATCGTTAGCACTCGACGACTGTGTCGTCTCCATTATGTTCTGGCAGACAGTGAACGAGAGGACGTGGCAGCGAAATGTAAATAAAGTTGGCGTCTACTTCAACACTGAGTACGATGCAGAGATGAACTCCTTGTCGAATACGGTGTCGCTCCACGCTGTTGAGTTGGTGAAATATGACTTGCACTCAGACTAGTTCACATTCTGAACTTTATGCACAACCCAAGACTGTACGAGCAATAGCGGTGGCCGACGAAGCCAGAAGTGATCGGAATGACAAACCATGGGATTCAGAAACCCACCAACCGCAACCTGTAACGTGGATGACTGCTCCATCAAAGAAGGGGGGCGGTCACGCTAAAGCGGCGAAAAAAGCGCGAAAAGAAACCCACAGAGATAATCTGAAGCAGACATCGAGGTTGGTCGAAGCTGTCGCGGATGGAGTAATTCCCTCTATGATGAAAGTTTTGGTGGCCTACAGGACCGCGTTTTGTTTTAAAGATCGCCAGGCTCTGTTGGGAATGACTGTGCTGAATCAAACGCGCTCTACCAAGATTGTAGTGGCCGACAAGGCAAAGATGCCTCCCACAGAACCCGCAAAAATTCGGTCGATCCTGCCACAACGCAGGATTGAGTCCTGCCAAGCACAGGTTGCGCATTTTCAAAACAGGTGGTTCAGTGATCACGATGTTAGGATGCCAGCTCTCGCTATCTCAATCAAAACCGGGAGTATTGTGTACGACGTGGAGATGCTTAAAGCCATGAGTTCGTGGCACAGAGCTGTCCAGCGGTTCAATGACATTTGAGAAACTATTCACTGGCTCCGGCACGTAGATTTGACATTTTGGAACCCCGAAGATTGTTGGCGAACAGGATTGCTGTTCCCAGATGATCTGGAGAAACGTATTGCAAATATCGATGTTCTCGGTGATTATTTTTGGATAACAACCTCCGAGGTCGCTCTTTAGTGGAGCTATCGTGTTTAGACCTTGCTCTAAATGCGTTGAAGAGCATGTACGACGCAGACAACGAGATTTTCTGCATCCCTTCGTACATGATGAGATTTCCCTCCGTGGATAATCAATTCATTGCTGAGTCGAAGGTTCTAGTGAACCTCCGCGATGCAGTCAAGAGGATGAACCTATGGGGGGAAACCGCCCCTTACACTGCCTTCAGTGGCCCAGAAAAACCAGTGTGGTTGTTTGCTGTTATTCTCTATGCTAGCGACCACTGGTGTGCCACCGCTGTAAAATTTAATGAGCTCACTATCACGATATTCGACCCTCAGTTAACCGGAGACAGATTCGAGACTCTAAGAAGATATCTTCGTGATGAGCTGGTCCCGTTGTTGCCGCTGCCGCTGTCACCAAAGCGCTACCGATTCGAGCGAGTTGAATGGGTAACGCAAGTGGATGACTATAACTGCGGAGTCGTCGTGATAATGTTTTTTGAAATGCTCCTGCTAGATGTCGTTCCGACCGGGTTTGATACTTCGACTGCGCTGCAGTACTTCCGCTATAGGTACATCAGTCAGATTGTAAGCACAATGTAATCTCATATTGCCTACACTATTGCATCGCTGCTTAACGTATAAGAATTGATCATTAGCTGCGTGGCGGACTGGTTGTTTTAGGCAGCCGTATTAGACACTGTGTTTTTTTAATGCTGGAAATCTCTAAGATGCACGTCGTTCCTGTTGTGAAGACAGTTTAGCCGATAGCGCTGTTTGTTCTATGAAGAGAAGCGTGACCACAGCTGCCAAGGGCTGTCCAAATTGCTCGCTCTATGAAGAGAAACCTGACTGCCATCTGGCAGCTATACCCAGCACATGGTGAGGCTATCCACCAGATACTGTGCAGGACTGTGCACGACTCTGCAAGACACTGCAAAAATTGCTGACTCATACCCTTCAGACTGTGTGCGTAGCCTCTGCCGAATATATAGTGAGCCTGTCATTTTGTCCTTTTAGATATACTCACTCACATGCGATTTGCCATTTCCCGTTTTGGGTGCTAAAATAGAGCCTATTTTATATCATCGACGTCGAGTTGCGCCAAGATTTATTTCGATTACTATTTAAAACTTCGAAGTAAAAATCTAGGGTAAAACTCAAATGGCGGTCGATAAAAATCCTTCAGTATGTCATTTTAGACACTATCGCTGGTGAAAATGGTTACCGAAATTCCTTACTCAAAGGGCGCACTGATTACTAAATGACAATAGAGGAGGCAGTGATTTGAAATACAGGAACATAGGAGGTACATACATTAAAGTTCAATTTACAGGTACACCAAATTCATTCTACCATATACAGTACCTGTATCGACAGCATTAGACTCAGTAGCCCTACTGCATGTAGAACAACATCTGAAGGCGTCAAGTAGTAGTTTCTCTCGTACTTTAATATTTAGTTTATCTCCAGATATTCAAGCTCCGAATTGTACAAGTACTGTACGAAAACACATTCACGATGCTCACATTTTATAGCACCACGTTTTTAGTGGCGCTGAAAAGGCAGCTACAGTACCTCCACTCACATGATGCAAGTCTCGTAGCTAGCCGGAAGCTAGTAACTGACATCCAGTTTCAGCTTGTTTTCAGTAGGGAAACCACTTTTTAGCATCACGATTTGTGATTGTAACTATATCTGGTTGCTTACAAATACCAAGTAAATAAATAATTTGCCAGAATCTGAAGAGCCGGTAGATCAGCATTTCTGCAAGTGTGCCCTTTGAGAAAGGATTATCCTGATCTCGGATTTCTGTGGTTTCATTGGCTAACACCCCTTTCTTGAGATTGGGTAGGTGTGCCCTTTGAGATAGGAATGTCGGTAGACCACCCGACTGAGATCCAGAGGGTGAATTCGAGTGCAAATCAAAGCAGAGAAGACCAACAAGGCGAGCGGGGGGAGGTCGCGTAGCCGCAGCAAAACTGCGCAGGATACCCTCAAAGCAGGGCTGTGCGGTATTTTCGGAGGCTGGCCCAGCGCCGAGCTTTCCAGCGAGCCGAGCACTGCACTCTCCAGATCAAATGAGCTTTTTATCGCAGGAGCACAGCGAATACGCAGCGGAGCAAATGCTAGAGCCATCCGCCCTCTTGATCCTGGGATTGCAACCATTGTGGATGCAATCCCAAGATAAAGAGGTTACCACACTTTTGGTTTTAGTATTGACAAACGGGCGACGCAACACGTGGTTTTTTTAAAACCACATGCTGCATCTTAAATGGTCACGAAGCTTGAGCGAGACGATAATCACAGAACCCCCAAACTTATGCCTTATTGAACTCAAGTTATTTTTGAAGATTTTAGCCGGTATTCCCATAAATCTACAGTACCAAAAGTGAGATTAAGGACTCCGCCCAGAAACTAAAAAGCGTGGTTCCGCTAAGCTCCCAACGGATATCAAGTAAGCATAGGCGATGGGCTCTTGAAATTCATTCGTACCACGTAAGTTTTGGCTGAAAAGACGGAAAGTAGTATGACCGGGTTTGCAAGGGTATAAGATGTATGTGTTTTTCAGCTTCTGGGCAGTCTGTATCATTATGATTTAGACTTGGCATTGCTATCTTTCACCGATACTCACATCAGCGTTAATGTGAGCTCAACTTAACTCACGCGAGTTTAACCAAATTGACTCTCGATTCAACTAAACTCGCGCGAGTTAATCTGAAGCTGTGCGTGCCTTTCAGGAGTAGTAGCAGTGTATTCTTGCGGTTCGCCATGCACCTGTGTGAGACGATGCCGCACTGGGAAGGTGGTGGTGGGGGGGGGTCTAGACAACGAATGAAGCCATGGTATGCTGCGGTGCTTGTTGTAGTTTACTATCCTTTTGTGACCATATTTATTATACCATAATAATAATGGTAATAAACATGTTATGATGGGGCTGGTTCTGCACTGGTACTGTCCAATCGCAAAAACCATATGGGGTCCAATAAGGGGGATCTGTCAATAAGTTTTGGGGGTTCTGTGATTATCGTCTCCCGAAGCTTGAGCTGCTCGTAAGTTTTCTTAAAATGTGCTGGTTCCAAGTGTTCGCTAGTGGTCAAAAGCAGCTATTTGTGTTTGCTCGTGTCAATTTGTGTTTGCATGTACCTAACGTACCAGACCCCAAGGATTACATGTAAATTACATGTAATCATTGGTGTCGGGTACATGATGTAATACATGTTCAACTGAGTAGCTTTAGCGAACTGTACATTACAATCTGTACTGCACTGATTGCGTGCAGCCAAACCAGTACATGTGCAAACAGCTGTCTATGTAGTGGGTAAAACGTTCTACATACCTTCAGAACATGTACAGTACTGCACCCCGTTTTCGCGCCCTTGGACCTTTGATAAACTTCTGGATCTGATGATTCAGAATGCAAATGAACAATTAATTGTAAGCCAAAAACCCTATTTATTTGCAAATCCTATACGGTCCACTTCCACGAAAACGGGGTGTAGTACTGTACCGGTAATCCATTGTAAATTTTCTGTCTCTTTTTATCCGGTACTAGACCACTATGTGGAGATTTGAAATAAAACTAGCGAGGTTTTTTCTTACTAAGGGTAGTATTATAATAGGGTCTGCTGTCACCTATAAATTACATGTACTAGTACTTGCAATCACCATATTGTAAACCACGTCTTGTCCCACATATGTTTGTGGGTACGGTTAAAAAATATCAGTCATTTTTACTTAGTCCTCAAAGAGAGGAGGCTGGCCATGCGCTTCCAAACAGCTATTCTGCTGCTCCTGACTATCTTCCTTGCCGGTGTACAACGCTCCTGCTCGGCCATTCATGCGTACCCGCTTAACTTGTCGCTTAGTCGCTCCGACCAAAACCGCAAGACAGCTGGAAGGTTCCTCAGACTAGGCGATGAAGAAAACAGGATGGCTCCTGTTTCAGCCCTCGAAACAGCGATCAAGGCCGCGATGCCACAGTTGACAAATTCGAACAAGCTTCTGCTGCGTTGGTATCGGCTAAAAAACAAACGCATAGACAAGACGCTCAAGAGTTTTGATCTCGGGAAGAACGTGGATACACTCTTGACCGACCCCAAGTTAAGCATCTTGCTACACTACATCCCAATGTACAACAAGAAGAACCCCAAAAACGTCATGACCACGGCCGAAGTGCTTGCAACCAAATATGGACTAGCTCCAGTGACTAAGCTACTCGAAAAGGCGAAAACATCGAAAGAGTCGTCGGAAGCGACCAAGACATTGGCGAAAGAGTTGCAGCTTGAGCAGTTCACGGGCTGGACAAACCAGAAGTTATCGCCCGTCGATGTTTACAGGAAATTGGAGCTAAACACTGGCAACCTCTCTCCTCTTGGTAGTCCAGTGTTTGAAGCTTGGGCTGGATTCGTGAGAAAGTCCCTCGGTCAGAATGAGGACAAAGCTGCGTCTACAATGCTCGAGGCGCTCCAAGAAATTAATGGGAAAAGAGGGGCTGCCGTTCTTTTTTACGAAGCAAAGGGATTTCTAGATCCAAAACTGACTGTGGCACACTTGAAGAAGAAGCAGTACACACAGTGGATGATTTCAAATGTCAACAAAGAAAACTTCTTAAAGAACGCGTTGGATTCGAAATCCCTGAAGCTCACCGAGACGGACACGAAAATCCTGGAGGAGTACCTTGGATTCGTCAAGACATACAAGGAAACCCACAATATTTCCATTTAAATACTATTGTAATACTGGAGTATACACCCATCAATTGTTCAAAGCTCCTTTGGTTCATGATGTCGTGTTGAGGTGAAGGCTAAGCCAATCCAATCACCCATTGCCTTCGTTTGGGGCTCTAATGTAGGGTCTCAAAGCACTATCACCAAGCTCGAGAAACGACGTTGAATCAATCACCTGAGACGTTATTGGCGTCACTACCTGTCAAGGTTTGTCTCCAGGGGCAACCTTGTTTGTTTCTGACCTATTATAAAGGCTATTGCTCCCTGTGGGAAGAACAATGGTGATGTGATTCATGATGAAGGGCCTGATCTGGTGGAGACGATACGATATGCCAGCTTGGATGCTTGAACCAGGGGTCCGCAAATGGTTATGGGCTATTGATGGAGAGGGCAAAATCCCAGCTCCATCCATTGTTGGCCCATAGTTATTAATGAAGATACCCCACAATCTGTGATCTGCACTATATACACAACAGAGAGTGTGATGAAGACATCGACGATCATCTACAGACACACATATTCAATGCAACGTTGTTGGGAAGTCTTACGTGAGATTAATGAAAGTCGTTCAAGCACCTTTAAGCTGCATCTATTAAAGGCGCAGCAACAAGTTAACCCCCCTGTTACGAACGTCATAAGTTATGACATAGTCCAAATTGTACGTCGTAACTTACGACATAGTGTTTTCTTCATATAGGAGTTGGCTCGGAAACGGCGACCTGATACTAAAATCAAATCAAATTTTGGGCTGATCGGATATAAGGCTGGAGAGGTTGTTGCTGCACACACAAAGCCAGTACGAGGGAAAGGGTTCAAGTGCACCTTTCCAACTGTCACCATTTGATGAGAGGCCAGAAGTCTTCGGGCACTCTCAGCCATTCGAGATTTTGCCGGCTGAGACGTAAGCAAAATGCCGGTCTCTGTGAGCGCAAGGACCAAAGCTGAGGCTCAAGCGTCGGTGTCAGCGCCCGCCCTGGATCCGCGCCTGGTAGACTTCGGCCATCTGTGGCGCCAGCTCAAGGCCGCGGGGTGGCGGTCGAAGCCTCCCACCGGACTGTCAAACGATTGGGCGTACGTCAGGCCGTCAAGCGAGGTTCCTGCAGAAGGCGAGATTGTAATCTACGGTATGTTGTGCTGTTGCAGGATTACTATGCGTCATTTCTAACTTGGTTTGTGGTAGGTGAGAGAGCGGTGGTGGAGCACGCGATCGCAACCGGACTGATTCAGGATGAAGAGGACAACAGCAGTGCCGAGGAGAGTGGAGATGGCGGTGAGGGCAAGAGCAGTGGGGGCGGTGAAGCTGAGAGCGGTGGCGGCGGTGAAGCTGGGAGCGGTGGCGGCGGTGAAGCTGGGAGCGGTGGCGGCGGTGAAGCTGTGAGCGCTGGGGGTGGTGAAGCGGAGAGCAATGGGGGCGACAGCGGTGATGGAGATATGGTGCGAGCGGCGCAGATTGATTGCAATGTGGCCCTTTCAGTCAACACAGTCGACGCGCTGCTCGGAAGTGACAGCGAGGACGATGGCACACCTGCGTTGTCGCAGAACGCGGTTGGGAGAGCTTTCTGGCTATCACCGCTACGTGCTGACGCGGTGCATGACTCAGACCAGAGTGTCGTGATTGGAGCTTTCCAGCGGCTGCTCTCGGAGACGGAGCCCGACCTAGACTCTGAGGACGACACGGTGGAGAAGCCGAGAGACGCCAGCAAGGGTGACGACGCTGGAGGACCAGCTGTACCACGCGATCCAGCTGATGTAAACTTGATGAAGGCTGGAGATCTTAGAGAGGAGTACGAGAGTCTGTATTCAGGCTCCGACTACGGCCAGTTTTCTGACGACGAAGACGTGGAGCCTGTCCGTCCTGATCCAGACGAGGACGAGGTATCGAACGACGAGGAGTCGCCCCACATGGATGCCGCTTTCATTGAGGCCCTAGGTGGCACCTTGTCCATCGAGCAGATGGACCAGGAAGCGCTGCGAAACTTTGCCTGGAGCGCGCCTTCGACAGTTTTTGCGGCTGATGTGTCCTGCTTTCGCGGATTGGTGCAGGAGACCGCCCATCCAGCACCAGAACTTTGCTCGAAGAAAGAATCACCTCTTGAATTGCTGTTTTATTTCCTACCGAAGAGCCTGTGGATGCGGATCACCAAAGAGACGAGCCGGATGAAAAGGCAGACGGTGGACCATCGAGCGCGTTATGAACGATGGCGGACGTCCAGAACGGAGAACATGCGTACACTTCGTGAACTTCGACGCCGTATTCGTCGGGAGAATGACTACTCACCGCGCGAGATCTTGTGCGTTATTGGGCTTCTCGTGGCTCATATGTTGAGCCCCGCCCGACGCTTTTCGCAGCACTGGGCAATGACTGACGATGGTGCTTTGAGTGCAGGTGCGTTCGGCAAGTACATGAGCCGGAACCGCTGCACGTCGATCCTGCGCGATCTACACTTCGCGAACAATGACAACCCGAACCGTCAAAACAAGCTGTGGGAAGATCCGTAACGTTGTTGATGTACTGCAGGAACGGTTCCTGAGCGCGTGGAAGCCGCCGAACATCATCTCGTTTGACGAAGGTGTCTTGCCGGCGACATCCAGACGCAACACGACCAGGATGTTCATGCCAGACAAGCCTCACCGCTACGGGACCAATATGTTTATGACATGCGACTCGTTGACTGCGTACTGCCACCGGTAAGCGACGAATGTTTTTTTGTTGATTTGCTAGGTCGTAAGTTATGACTTTATGATTTTGACCGTGCTTTTAATGTCGTATCTTTCAGGTTTGAGATCTATGTCGGAAAACCCCAAGCCAGCGAGTCCGCTGCGCAGGCATTTGACCGTAAGACGGGTGCTGCGGCAGTCATCCGCAACCTGAGCACTGTTCTAGCTGGGCATCGTGGCTTTCGGGCTGTGGTCATCGACCGCTTCTACTCGTCCGTAGCTCTCGCCATCCAGCTTCTCTCTATGTCAATCTACGTGATCGGTACGATCATGACGAGCCGCCTGGGCTTCAACCGCGACGTCGTAGCGGAGCATAAGACGCGACCAAGGCGCATCGAGCGTGGATCCTTCAAGTTCGCAAGATCGACGGCAGTGCCGACCATGGTTTCGTGCCTCTGGTGGGACCGGAAGCCGGTCCACTACCTCGCGACCGGTGTGTCCATGGTAGAGGACAGGATCCAGCGGAACCTGAAGGGGCTCGGGACTTCGATGTTCAAGTGCCCGAAGCTGGTGACGGATTACCAGCGCTGGATGGGAGGAGTCGGCGTGCATGACCAGCTCCGCCTCCAGTCCTCCTCCATCCAGCTCTCCTTCAGGTTCCGGAAGTATTATAAAAGTCTTTTCCTCGGACTACTGGACCTGGCGCTCGTCAACGCATACCTCACGCATAAAGAGGCCAGTCGGCTCGCCGGCGAGACGCCCATGAAGCGATACGAGTGGTTGAGCATGCTGCACAAGCCGTTGCTACAACTCAAGGACGAAGACTTCATGGCAGCCCCCACTCCGTCGCCAGCAGCACGCAAGCGACGGCGCCCTGCATTCTCCGGGCACACGCTCGTGTTCAACGACTGGGTGACTGTGAGGGGCGGCATCCAGATGAGGCGTCAGCGGTCGTGCAAGGTGTGCTCGCTGTATCGAGGCGAGCTCAAAAAGACGTTCCAGACGACCTACTACTGCCCGGACTGCTCCAACGGCGACGCCAAGTTCTACCTGTGTGGCAAGGCGCGCAGAGGTGGCGACAAGACTTGCTTTTAAGTGTGGCACGAGGACTTCGCGTGCGGTGACAGGATTTCTACGCACCTAGGGAAGCGTGTCGTGCTGCGGCGCGCTCCCAAGGCCGTAGGTGTCCGCAAGAAAACTCGGAGGGAGATTCTTCGCGAAGACAACGGGAGTGCTGATGATGAGGCTGAATCTTGAATCCGAAGGAGTACCAGCCGATGTGTGTTCATGGCTTCATAAATTTGACGTCGTTTATCATGTGCGCTGTGTCTGTTCAACTTTTATCATGTCAGTCATCGAAAACGCCTGCTCTATGTGTGCAATCGCTTGCGTTTACGCGAGTAGTGAGTACGAGGATGCAATTTCTGCTCGCTGTGCGATATCAGGAGAGGACAAAGCAAAGCCGATGATGACAGTCAAGAGTACTTTCGACCATCAACTACAGAAGATGATGTGCAAGTACGACTGGGAAATACCACTTGAAGATGTCACCGAGGAACGAATCCTCAGTGAGATCGACAAGATTGTAAACACCGTGAAAAACGGCGACATTGACAACATTGATGCGCTGTTTGACGAGAAGCTTCGTATGGATTTGAGAGAAGATGAAGTCAGGTGAATTATTTCAAAAGGTGTGAGGAAATTATTCTGCAGAACGGACTGCAAGGTATTTTCTCTACGACAATGGGGATGACTCATAAGTGCACCATATTGAAGAAGCATTTGCGGCCAAGAGCTCTACGTGAGCAGGTGGAGACTCACCAGAAGATCATCGACAAGAGTAGCGCGAAGAACGACGTAGCTCTGTACAAGCTAGTCAGGGAGAAGGCTCTTGAGCAGGATGCTGTGCACCGCTCGATACTGAGGAGCCAACAACACGCGAAGCGAGACGGAAAACCATCGCGGCACAGCGAAGTTCGAGTGGCAAAGAAGTCGGACAACGACCGTACTGTTGCGCAGACTAAGCCATGGACGAACAAAAGGAAAGCACAGCAAGACGCTGGTGACCTGTGCGTGGCGTCACGCAGGATGCAGACGTGGCAGAAGTGATCGATGGTATGGTTGCAGACTGTTTGAACCGTGAGATTATTTCGCCTGGAGCTGAAGTAGACCGTTTGCGTGCCATTGTGTTTTCTTTTAAAGGATGGAGACTCATTCTTAGTGATGACCCTCCTGCAAGAGTATTCCCGCTGAAGATCCGGCTGAAACCAAATGCAAGGCCTTACAAGTGCAAAGTTCGTCAATATAGTCCCTAGAAATCGGCATTTATGGCAAAGTTCA